AGAGAAGGCTGAATCAACATTTGGCGTTTTTTTTTTTTTTGACCCCTCTCTCTTTTATCCACTCTCCTCCATGTCCTGAAAGACAGTATATTTATGAATTATTTATCTATGTTTGAAAATATTAAACTAGTGATGTCCTTGTCCTGTGTCTTATCTCCAAGGGCATCATAAGAAGCTGTAAAGAAAAAAAAAATCACCAAAGCGATGGAAGGCACGGTCGTAAAAATAGCCTCTGACTGCATTTAAATCTGGGTACATACATCAACGTGTTAAATTACTCATTCTCGCCAAACAAGCCTCTGCTCGTCTTTTATTTCTCTTTACAGTGATTAGAAAGGGTTGTACCCCACAGTCGAGCTTACAAGCCCTTTATCCCCAAGTAGTGCCCATCTTGTATGTGCATATGAGTATTTAGAGAAGAGCTGTGACATTAATAAATCAGTTGATAATTAATCACAAAGTAATGTGATGATCAAATAATTAGTTTGACAATTTTTTAAGAAGAAAAAAGTCAAAATTCTCCGATTCCAGCCTCTTAAAGTCCCCGTCAAACCGAAGTTAAAGCATCTTTAGCTTCTGTGCTGTGACGTATTTCCCAGTGAAAGTATTTGATCAGTGTAGAGTTACAAGAGAGATTTAAATCCCTTCCTTCGCATTTGATTGCACCGCTAAAAAGCGGGCGGGCTTAGTGTTTAGCATGATGCAGAGCTACAGTGAAGTCCAGTCCTGAGCAGCCTGCTGAGCAGCTCCACGCACACCTCCCTCACTGTTAGATCAGGAGGAGGATGAGGGAGAGATGAATAAATTAGACCTCAGTCACACTGTTCTGAAAATGAAAACAAGGACTTTGCATACTGATATCTGGACACACATCTCTTCCTAACTCACTCCATGTTGCTCTGTTAGCTACTACAACCAACAAGCAGTGAAGTGTGGTTTTATATGGCGAGTGTGGCAAGCTAGTCGTCCAAAGAGTCAAGAGAGTAAACTTTTGTAAACGCCCCTGGGTGCAGGATGAGTCAAACATTTTATACCCATTTAAAGAAAGAGAAAAGTTAGGGATTTTGATGTAAAAATACTCTGATTTATTTATTTATTGACATATATCTGGCACATAACAAGAGACAAATAATAAATTAACATATAAACTCAGGATTAATTACTGTCTTTAAGAAGCTGTGGCGCCTGCATTTTTTTTAAGTGAGTGAAGGTAGTAGTATTTTGTGAAACTAGACAACCTAAGGCATCCATTGGTACCAACCATGTCAGCATAGCTTGTTGGTAAGGAGGCGAAATTATGGTCCAAATTTATGCTAAATTTTAGCGAGGGAACATTGATTCATTTATTTTCTGTAACCGCTCATTCTGTTTTGGGGGGGCTTGAGCCTATCCCAGCTGGGCAAGAGTTGGCGTACACCCTGGACAGGTCACCAGACTATCACAGGGCTGACACATATAGACAGACAACCAGGCATGCTCACATTCACACCTACGGCCAATTTAGAGTCACCAATTGGCCTAACGTGCATGTCTTTGGACCGTGGGAGGAAGCCCGAGTACCCAGACAAAAACCCACACTGACACAGAGAGAACATGCAAACTCTGCACAGAAGGACTTCCTCACCCCAGGGTTTGAATCAGGAACTCTCTTCCTGTGAGGTGACAATGCTAACCAAGTTGAGGGAACAATACCACAGAAAAAGGGGTCCCTTGTACTCTAATCTCAAGATGTCTGAATTAAAAAAGGTTCCATGGGTACCTACGAATCTCCCCTGTTCCTTTCAATTAATGTACTCCTTCAAATTAAAGCTGTAAATTTGCCTTTTTTTAAGGAAACAAACCTCTATAGCCTATTTGAAAAACAATGAATCACTAGCACATGTATATGCAGATCACATATTTAAACAGGATTGTAAAGGGACTCAGTATTTCAACTGCACCAGTATTAATCTGTGCACATCAGATAATTAGTGTCATTAACTGTAAAAATAAGAAACCACAGTGTATTAGTATGCAATTCTTTAACTGTCCGTATTGACATCGTTTTCAACTAGTCTGTATACTACAATTGCATAATCACACCCCTGAAATTCAGTTAGGACTTTTGGTTGTGGTGTGCCACCCCAGAATTTTCAGTGGCCCCATCTGGCCCCCCCTTTGAAAAATTCTAGGTGCACTACTGTCTCTGACAATGATCATCCCCTAACCAGTTATTTCTTCTAAGCCTAATCAAACCTTCTCCGTAGTGCTGGAAGATAAGACGACAGTCACATGAATAATTCTTGCAATGCTGTGCCAGGACAGAAATGCTCATATGTGTTGTTTCGACCACGTATTTTCTCATTCAGACTGGAGGACAGACATGTGATAACTCATTAAATCTGCTGATTATTCTCTCAATTAATTGATTAATCTCTAGTAAGAAAGAGCCCACATCTGCAAATATCTTGTTTTGTTTAAAAACACAAAGATATTCAGTTTATTATCATAGAAAAGCCACAAACCCATTTGAGAAGCTGAAAGAGCAAATTTGTGGCATTTTTGTCACAGAAGCACAAACCAGTGAGATTTGTTTTTATTTGTTTACTGAATTAAACCTAGCGCATATGCTTGTTAACAATAATAACATATGACAACAAGAATAAATGTCAGACGACGGAGACACATTTGCAAAACCTTTATCGTGGGAAAAGGAATTGTCAGTGATAATATTTCTGAGCAAGCACCAAGAGTGAGTGTTATGGGAAGAGAAAACAGCACATCACCCCCTGATAGTAAACATACTCCCTTTTATTATTATTATTTTCTCCCTAATGATAGTGCACATTATGAGACTTTTATCCTATCTTCAAGCACCAGCTCTGCTAGTGGGGACATTGTAGCTGTTCCTCGACGCTTCTTGCCATTTGTTTGCTAAAAGTATTTGTTTGCAAGATGAATTGCTGCACTGGCAGGCGAGATGACAGCCTACACGAAGATGATATTGAATTGATTTCTGAAATGTTGCAGAACGGACTAGTTGATGTGTACCACGAGACATGAATAATAAAAATTCTATTAAAAAGCTCTTGAATGGCTGACACTGGAATATTATTTGTGATGATTAATTTTCTTCAGTCATTATAAAGGGGAGTTGGCATCAGATTGCCTCTGACAAAATTGCTTTTCATTCCCTGGTGAATACCCTCAGTATGCTTTTTGAGAGCACAAAACCATATTTCTCAGCGCAATATTATGTCAAGATAGGCCCTGGAAAAGACAAGCACAGGCTCCGCTCATGTGTCAACTTATTAGTACCATAAAATCTGTCCTTTTTTACCTGCTGTGGGTCATTTGGACACATTGGATAGGTTTCATAATTAGGAATGTGGGGTTTGTTTAGTCCAGTTTTTCTATTTCTAAAAAAAACATATGATTGGCATTATAATTACGGGATTATAAAATAACCACTAAGTGAGTGTCAATGGTGTTTTTCCACATAATGAATTTGATTAACTGTATTTTAAAGGCGTGCAGGCTGACAGTTTGTTGCTTTAAAGCTGTCAAGATTTCTGAAGCAAATTATTCTGTACAGCAGCTGTTGTTGTCTAACTCTAATTAATTTGCTGTGTATGTTTGTGTTGAATTAATTCTTTACACTTTTGTAAGCGCAACAATTTGCATTTCTAATTATTTTATTTCCAGCAAAACAGCCTGAATTGACTGCCACGGCTCAGTGTCTGCTGCAAACACACACATCTGAACAACAAAAATCAACAGGTGCATTTAAAAGCCAATTATGAGGCTTTTTAATTACTCTGGAACATCCTTTGTTAGCTGTGTCTCTCCGGCATTGTTACTGAACTTCAGTTTACCCTGAGAATGTTTCATGGCAGTGAGGTTGTCTGGTGGGCATGTTTTTTTCTCAGGCATTCGAGTGTTGATTCTTATTTTGTTTATGCTCTAACTAAATGCAGCGTCGTTTTGAGACACAGGTACAATGTTCTCATGCTCTCATGTTGTGTTCACGTGCTTCCTCCCACGTTCCAAAGATATGCAAATTACAGTAGGTGGGTTATAGACTCTATTTTGCCCATACATATAAAACTGTCTGTGTGTGACCAGTCCTGGTATTTTCCTTTGTTGCAATAAATTGTCCTTTAGCAGCTGCGATAATTAAAGGGATACCTCACTGAATTGTATCATGACAGTGTGGGTCGTATGTCTAAATGAACTGCACCTGGATCTTTCTGCACATCTCTCAGCTCAAATCAGCCTGCAGATTTTTGCAGGCTCCTGGGCTGGTGATTGAACTACAGATTGTACTTTTGCATTTTTGTTTCCCACCACAGACACAAAGAGTCCAGATGCAAATCAAAAAAGAAACCCGCCCCTGTCTTTCTCTGTCTATAAAACTCAGACCAAACTTAAATTGTAAAAGTAGGCAGTGCTGATTAAATATAAACCAAGATTTTGTGACTGTTTAGCAAATTTCTTGCCTAAGATGTCTTCAGAAACATATTTCAGTTTGGCTGGAATACAAGAATTTGTGAACAGGAAGTGGGCGCCATACTGTTTCCTGTATTCTGTAAAGATCAAATGGTGAAACTAAGCAGTGCTGATCAAATATGAACCAAGATTCTGTTACTCCATTGCCTGTTTCTCACCTAAAATGTTTTTAGAAATATATTTTAGCGTACGGTTTAACTTTGATTTAAGATATTTAATAACCAGCCAGCTGCCATATTGTTTCACAGCCAAAACAGCCAAGCTCACATCCTGTTTCCAACTAGCATGAGTGTTTATTGGTCCAATGTGGCGCAGTGTATTCAGGTAGTTGTAGGTTTTCTACCCCTTGAGCAAAAGCGCTACATGACCACGAAGATACATGACTGCATAGACAACCCAGTATTATGAAAAGACCATCTTGCGTTCTTGAAGCAAAAAAATGTAAATGAGTAAAGGTTGCTGTGATTGCAGTTTCATCCTCTTCTAAAAAAATCTTGTCTCTGTCTTTCCAGAGCTACTCCAGTCAGGGCAGAGGCAGCAGCGGCGGAGGAGGCGGAGGAGGAGGAGGAGGAGCAGGGGATGAAGACTACGAGATCCCCCCCATCACACCCCCCAACCACGCCGACCCCTCTCTGCTGCACCTCATGGAGCACGAGTCAGGTTACCCCTTCCATTCCCTGCCTCACAACGGCCTGCTCAACACCTACTCCTACCCCGAGCTGCCCGCCCTCATGATGTCCAACATGCTGGGTCAGGACACCCACCTCCTCTCGGGGCCTATGCACTCAGTGAGTACATTTATTTTTTTTTGTCTGTCTGTCCCCTTTTAGCTGCGGCCCTCTGTGATCGTGCAAGTCAAGCACTGTGGTAGGCTATTAGTCTCTGTGGTCAGAGGTCTGGAAGTCAGCCAGCGAGTCAGCTCGCAGAACATTTTCTCTGAAGGTTTCACACGTTTGTGTCATGTAAAGTTCAGTCTTTTAAAACGTTTCCAAAAATGATTGATCTTTCGACACTCTACTGAAGCTTTAAACTCACATAAACAGCAATGAAATGGTGAAATGACTAATTCTCCTTGTGTACCGCTCTCAATAGTCCCTGATTATTTTTTCATAATAGCAAAGCGTTCTTCTATTAGAGTGATAATTAGCCCGGTTAGAGGCCGAGGAAGCTGAGACAGTGCAGTCGGAGCAAGGCCAGAGTCTATACATGCAACATTTATAAATACAGAGCGCTGCTGCCTCCTTAACACCCAGACCTTTGCGGCACAGCTCCTTTAATATCCATTCAGCTGCACAACTCAAAGATTTCATTGCCTCAAAGTGAGCCAAGAAAGGGAGCAAGAAACTCGGCGCTGCACATTTTCATTCGTTATGATCGGCAAAGCGAAAAAGGAAGTGGAAGGGATGGAGGGTGGTGGTGGGGGGGTGCAGGTTTTGAACAGAAAATCTTGACAAGGAGAGGGGGGGGGGTATCCCTTGTCAGCTGTTTTTTCTTTTCAAAAGGATGCTGAGGACCCCCGCTCCCCCCTCCAGTAAAGGGACTTTTTCTTGTGTTAAACATGCTTCAGACTGAACATGTAAACACCCCTGGCAAACACATTCAAATGCTTTAATCATAGGATCGAACCAGATGAATTATAGATGGCCTCTGTGGTGAATTATTCAACGTTATATACTTTCATCTGACATAAATATTACTTTTTTCTCTTCTGCCCTCCATCATGAATATTTATGCTTTAATGTGAGCATCCTTGGCATTTATCCTCCGTTAATCAGGTCTTATGTGATTTTCAGAATCAAACTGCGTAAGTTGCAAGCTTCATTTTTTTTCCCGTGGGTGGTAGCTAAGGCCTCCATTAAAGCCAGTCTTCAGGATTAGGTCACAATCCATTGGCTACTGTGGTGAATATGCTGGGTGCAGTAGAAAGATGTTGTTGACTGGAACATTTTCAGTCGATCTGCTTTTTTAGTGTCATTTGCTGCTTTGACGAAACCTATGCAATCATCTGGATGAGTTGATTTGAGGAGATGACGACATATAAGCTGTGCCTCTGGATGCATGTGTGCAGTATATGTATAAAGCTGATGTCCATTGCACCAGTATATGTAACAAAGCAGCCCTTTTTTTGGCCAATAGTCTTTTACAGGGGAAACAGAGAGGGAGTGCCTGCCTCTTAAACAGCTTTTATTTCACCTTTGCAATTATTTATTTTCAAATAGCCCTTCAGGGTAATGTTCCATTTTCTTATTTCACACCCCCTTTTCTCATAAATGAACCGTCATTGCAATAAATCACTGCACAAACAGAGACTTGCACACACTGTGAAAGGTCCAGAGATTTATGTAACACATTCATGTTTCCCACTTCCACATTTTAGTACTACTCTAGCAGAGCCTGGCTAATAATAGCCGCTATTAATATTTCTTGTTGCCTAGCAACCCCAGCAAGTAATAGCTTACTCTGGAAAAATAGATGACCGATAAGGAAAAAGGAGGGGAGGAAGGGGGGTGTTGGTGGGGGTTGGAGTGAGGGGGGATTCAATTCATTTATTATCTCCTGGGACAAGAGGAGCTTATTTCTGAGGCTGCGGAATAGGAAAGTAGGCTGTATATTGAGAAATATTTTAAAGCAATTGAAGATGACGTTATTTTCATTTTGGTTCCATTAGGGATGTTTCATTTGATGTTTCCCCAACAAAGTCAATTAACCTTAATTTCATACTGATAAAGGTATAATAAGGAAGATTAAATTTATGCCTGCTGAATGCTTAAAGAATAATAAAGGTGGATGGAAATAGGCTCTCAGTGTAGCGGGGTCGGAAATGAAGAGACGAGCCCGTACCTTTGTTGTACTGTGTTAACAGAAGCCTTTCGGTAAAGCCACGAAATTGGAGGAGATAGCTGGAAAACCAAAGCGCTAATCGTTCACCAGTCTTCTCTCACCGTTGCTGAAGAAGCAAATAAAAAGTCAACAGCGTTACCTTAAGGATACACTCCTCTTCAGTAAAAGCTATCCTTCAGAGCACATATAAACCTCCTACAAGTACAAGCTCAGCTGGAGCAACAGATACGCTTCATCTCAAGGGATGTTGTTGCTGGTTTTTGTACAACATTTAGCCCGAGGCTAAAGCTCTGTAAACTTCTCCCTGCTTTGGGATTCTCTTTTTCAGCGCACATTGATCCTACAGCAAACACAGTTAAATCATTACAGCAGTGAGAGCACTGGATTGACCATCATCTTCATACTGCATACTGTACGCACACAATTTTGCATCAGTTTGTCCTGGTAGCTTTTAAGTCTGTAATTTCTGCTCATTTAGAGTTGACTATATAATAATCTTATGATTTCTGGCATGCAGAACAGCATATGTCTCTGCAAGAGCCCTGTTTTTTCCTGCAAAATTTATTCTGTCTGACAACCTCCTCTTTTCCATCTAATTATGACTCCACAGGCAGCAGAAATATTAGCTGCTGAATCAAAAAGGTGTGTAGCAGATGGAAAAAACAGGTGTCAAATACATGCATTGAGTATTAGGCAAATTTCAGAGCTTGAACATTTGAAGTACATTGAGGTTTTCTATTTTTATTTTCAACCGGCAGAACCAGCACTTTGTTCAGGTGTGGGGTTTGATCCTTTCTGCTGCAGTCGCATGTTGTTCATAATAGTCTTAACTGCCAGTTTTGAACCGTTTCTCAGACTTGAAACTGCTCCATTTACAAGGACTCCAACAAGCAGAAGGATCAACAACGGTATTATAAAAGACAGAGCTGTCAATCACAAATGCTCTTACATTCTCCTAACTCCTCCCAACATCAGTGACCTACTCTGTCAGCTCAAGGAAGAGACGGCGAAGTCTTGGATGACTGGATACTGCGAAATGTAACATGCTTTCGTGTGAATGTTCATTGCAGAGGGAGAATCCCCTGTCTCACCCTCAGCTGTCAGCATTTCTGCCATCTCTGCGCTCAGGGACGAGGTGGCATCCAGGGGTCTTGTGTTCAACAAGCCCCCTGATTGCTTAGGTCTGTCTGAGGCTACGGCCGAGGGGAGATGCAAGCAAGATCTACCGCTTTGAAAAAAAATAAAAGAGGAGGGACACTCACCAGCAGACAGTAATGAGGGGTCGTAGAGGAGTTTACAGAACGGGCCCAACATGGAGCCTTGAGGGGCGCCGGCGCGTTTAAATATTGAAACAGAGCACCAGCCCCTGTCTCATTACTGGTGTAATGAGGCTGGTTAGGGAGGAGGAAAGCCCCTGCCGTCAAAAAAGCAGCTGCCAGTTTTACAAGTTTATGTCACACATTCAGTCAGATGATGGGAAGTTTGCTTAGTTAAACTGTAGTTTAAACATGTGGTGCTCCATCAATATTTTTGGCAGGACGTGTGAAAAGCAGTTGATTTATAACATTGGTGGACCAAATAATTTTGGGGACTTCCTGAGAGGAACTGCCCATTGGAGAGCTCCCCAAAGAGCTACATACCTGCAAGGGCTTTTTTCTGTTTGCATTTCCACCTCCAGTAGGAACACTGAAATGACATACTGTAAGCCGGCTGAAAAATCGCATCGCATAGATATTCAGTAAAGCCTTGATGTCACTGTTGGTCCATTTGTCTGCTTTTGTTTCAATTGCTTTTTCTTTTGACCAGTCTTTTGTGTTTTTTGTTTGTTGTTTACAAGGCTAATGGTTATTTAAAAATGGCGGTTGCCAAGGCTGCATTGGCTATGTTCAACCAATCAGCATACACTTAAGTCAGTCATAGTTTCTCTTCTTCCTCTGTAGGAGTAACCACTCTGAAGTAGAAGCTAAAAAAAAAACAAACGTCATTGTTAGAGCTATGATTGTTCCTCGTTCTTACAGTGCAGTAAGGGGGATTCTTGGAACTATGAAAATGTTCCTCTGGTCCGAAAATGCATAGTGACAAGCAGGTGTTGATGCCATGAATAATTTGTCAGCTGAAGATGCAGCTTTAGCTATGTATTTTTAAGGCTGCATTAAAATTAAAAGAACTCCACAGCTGGATGGCAGACACACTGCCCTGACATGATACCATTATATAAAATTGTAATTGGAGCAACTTTAGCATTCATTTAGAGTCATGTTGGTGCCACTTGATGGAAATATGTGTAACATTCACTGTCCTTTAGCTCTGGTGCACCTGAGGAAAATATCTGGGTCTTTGACAGCTAGATGTTTGACTCCCCTGGATGGTTGCTAACTTTGTTTGTCTGCCGTTTGTGCTGAGCATGTATGATACATTTGAATTGTCATAGTTGTTTTTTTAACAACTGGAACTGTGGTTTACAACAGGTTTAGATAGTACCAAGAAATATCAGGATACAGGGGTGTAGTGCTATTTGTGTAAGTCCCAGAGTACGCCGATGACTCACTCATGTGTACACAGTTAAGTTGTTGCTCAATTCGAAGGTTATTTACACCCTATATTCCTACAGTGGCAAGTTAACGTACGTTGTCAACTATAACTCTAAAATGAAAGATGTTATGTCACCTTTTTTTTTTTTCTAGTTACTAGACTGAGAAAAAAATATTTAATTTGCTGTACCACTTAAAAGTTACTGCTAGCACCTAGCACCATCTTTTAAGGTTGAATGTTTTCTTGCATGTTGCTCAATGCATGAGTTGACGTGAATCAATCGGCACACCTCAAACGTTGAGGACACTTTGAACAATTCATTTATTTTTATTGTCTCTCTTGCATGTCATGTGCTTTAGTGATTATTGGATCCTTGAGCGCTTAAAATTGTATGAATTTTAAATGGCTTATGTGA